TATTCTGGTACCTCATAGAGGTAACCTATTGGTTGACTGTCTAGTGTTAATTGGATACCATGATGGCTGTTGGACACTGAATAGATTTTTAAAGAACCTAGCAGCATGGAGAAAAGTCACATGATTTTGGGTCCAGGTTCATCTTAATTAAGTTCGGATTTACTAATAGTAGCTGATTTCTACCAACTTTCTAGAGGAACATGAAGGTTATTAAGTGCATTCACAATATAATCAGGACTTCTTGTGGACCATTTCTTCCTGAAAAGATGCTGATTAATAGGGAGGTGGTTTGTGAAAGTAATGAGTATGGGGTTTTATGTATTTGTTAGTGTAGGGGAAGAGATCAACTTTTATTTCGTAGTGTAATCAAGGATGGGGTTTTATGATGAGGTCTCCAACAGTTCTTTCCTCAGCTGTTGTTCCAAGTGATTCTAGTGAAGGAGTGGAATAAAACAGGAAGGAAGGAGGAAGAGAAGGGAGGGTAGGTGGTGTAAAGAGAAAAAGGTCTTCTTGCACAGAAGGTTACAGGTCGCAGAGCAAGGTCTATAATAGGAAAAGAAAAGCATTGGGATTTACTACTGAAGAAGCTGGGGAAAGGGCGGGAGAGATAGGAGGGGAAGTGTCTAAGGAGGTGGAGAGGGAGGGAAGGGAGGAGACACAGGGGAAAGGGGGCAGTGAACAAGAAATGGTTGAAAGCACCCAAACAGCGGAGGTGGAAATTGATAAATTAGTGGGGCAAGAAGTGGCAGTTAAGTCTCATGGATTATTTTTTTGGGGCGGGGAAGGATTTTCAAGGTTAGCATTTGAGCATTTTGAAAAGAGTACATGGGAGGAGAAGAATAGAAAGAAGGAAAGGATTGAGGTGAAGAAGGGTTGGAACAAAGAAGGTGGAGAGGAGCTCTCTGAAGAGGGAGAGTAGGAAGTTGGAGAGGTGTGAGGTAAGGAACATTGATTATGTTGATTACAACACAGTCCATACAAGTTGATCTCTTCCCACCCCTTGCTTTTCTAAAACATCAGCAAAAGTGTTAGTAATTCTTTTCATCAACTGTAATTTAACATTTATGTTTTGTGCCACCCACTTGAACCTCCTTTCATTAACATAGTTCTACCAACCAGCTTCCTCCTGCAGCTGGTCCACCACAAACTTTGGGTCACCTTCAATAATATATTCAATTCCTTGCTCTTTGTACACTTTCCATCACAGCCATGATTCAGCCCTCAAGGAATCACCAACAACAATTGGACCCGAGTACAGCACAGTAATTCTTTCCTCATTTCGAAAAAGCTCCTCTAATTCCTGAAGGACCAGGATTCCGTTCACTACGTACATTAAAATTCTGCTTGATAAAACCACAAGCTTGCTTGAATTGTTAATCATCCTCGTTGTCATCATCATCATCATCATCTAAGCCTTTCTTTCTACCCCTAGCTCTTCTAGCCCCTTAAACTTGTAACAGATTGCTTTATTTTGTTGCTACTTGCTATTTTAACTAAAGAAACAAGCTAACTTGTAAAATAAAAGAATAACAAGGGAAATGAGTTAACTCAAATTAGCAATGGCAATGGGGTAGGGACCATACTCCTCATTCTCAAAACCGTTTTTTTAAGTAAACTCCCCATCCCTGACCCTGATCCCCATCCCCAATTCCTGATGGATATGAGTTCCCCATCAGGGACCCAAATCTCCAAATTCTTTTTTCTTTTTTTTTTAAATTAAAAGCTTGCTTTGAGAAAAAAAGATTTACTTAAAAAGGAAAGAAAAAAATCACTATTCTAAATTGTTTTAGCACTTAATTAACATTATTAATCATCAAGATGACATAGAAATTGTCCGGCGGGGACAGGGAAAATTGCCATCCCTAACTCAAATCATTGCCTAGGTAACAAGGTATTCCCATCTCCTAGCCTCATGCTCTCACCTAGGCATCTTGGTGACCATGTGTTGTGGAACCCCACTCAATCCATTCTCTTGGGCCTGGGCTTTATTACACTAAGTAAATCTCTCTCTCTCTCTCTCTCTTCACCCCTGCTTTCCCACAGAAAGACCCTCTAAATTTTTCCAATTTCATTGGTGTTTACACTTTGGAAAGTAGGATATAGAAATCAGGAGAACTGATGTGCTCCCTACCCTTCTAATATCTTCTCTACTGATTGGAGCAAGTTGGAAATGCAATGCATATGGAATTTATTTTAGCACATCAACATTGTGAATGGTCATATCGGTCACCACTTTCTCTTATGTTGATGGGAAGATCAGAACTGCTTTAGAACTCTGAAGTAGCACTGTAGCACCTTCACCACACCCTCCTTTTTGATTTCTAAACCTACAAAATTTACTATGTGTTCTCGTTAAAAGGAGGGATCGATGGAGGAAGGCTTCTCTTAGGTGGTGAAGTAGCAAAAGACCGTCGTGGTGGAGGAAAAGAACCTTTGTTTTAGAAGAGCAGAGTTAGAGGTACGGTTGCTCTGAGTATTAGAGAGGTACAGTGAGCTATGACGTTGTTAGTTGGGGAAATGGTGCAATGGTTCAAACGCCTATTGGATGGCACAATACATACAGTAAAAACAGTGGAATGGAAAGGTCTATAGAGTGACAATTGATAGTGTCTTCAGTATGGGTAGCTATAACCCTGAAGATGAGAAAGTTGACTAAAACACTGAAATGCTCTTTAAATCTAATGATGAGCAACAGATGTTAAGCCATCCACAGCTCAAACCAAGGGAGATTGACTCTGAATATGATGAAGCGATTCAGGGAGTATGCAGGGATGCACAACCTAGTTCCCAAAGAACCAAACAAAGATACTGATATGCAATTTTCTTTAATTAACAAAATTCTTGGTTATCAATCAGAAATTATAAAAAGCACAGTATACCAGATGTGTCTTTCCACTTAAATTACCCTGCTCTAATTCTATGGGAAACCTCATTACTCATATTCAATTTCTCCTTAATTGTGTCCTTTGCAAGCTTACGATGAGAAATTGGGGAAACCCCATCTTCTACTCTGTGGCCTTCAATCAGAAGACCCATATAATCATGAATCTCTAGTAGTTTGTTGCATAATATGCATGCGTTTTTCCAAGGAGAGGTACCAACAGACCTTGCCAAAGTCCATCAGGTATGACCTCTGCTCTGGGAATCAGGTAAAGTTTTGGGAGCACATTTGGGTGGGTGAGATACCTTTGAAAGACCAATTCTCTTCCTTGTTTTCACTCTCCCGATTTAAGGGCAAGGTTGTGCCCAGTTTTCTAGTTCCTTCTCAGTCTAATTTTGGGTTTGATTGGGATCTGGGGCTTAGAAGAGGCTTAAGGGATGTAGAGGTTGAAAATGCCATGAGTCTGGTTCAGATCTTAGACCTGGTGGTGTTGGATACCTTTGACAGGGATAAGATACTGTGGACCCTAACTCCCTCTGGAACCTTTTCTTGTGCCTCTTTCTTCAAGTCCCTATTGCCTTCATCCAGTCCATTTGGACAAAACTTTCCAGTTAAGGATGTTTGGGGTGAGCCGATTCCTCCAAGGATTGGAGCCTTTTGTTGGGAAGCCTTCCTCGGAAGATGTAATACATGTGACGTACTCCAAAGAAAAAGGCCTTTTTGGTGCTTGTCTTTGAATTGGTGCATTCTTTGCAAGGCTAATGGTGAAAGCTCTTACCACTTGTTAGTTTCTTGCTCCTTTGCTACTGATCTTTGGGAATGGTTTCTTTCCACTTTTGGTTGCAGGTGGACCACACCACCAAACATTCAAAGTTTGTTTAGCCCCTCATTCTTTGGTTGGCCAAACAAAAGGGGAAGGATAATGTGGAGATGTGTGAGGGCTGCTGTTTGTTGGAGTCTTTGGGAGGAAAGGAAAACCAGAATTTTCTCTGAAATTGATGGAAGTAAAGAATGCCTTATTGAAGTAGTAACAGTGAGGGTGGTACGTTGGCTGAAATCTTTGGACCTGTTTGTTGATATTTCTACGGATATGTTGCTGAATAGCTGGCTGGAGGTGGCAAATTCTGCTCCTGYTYGCTCTTTAGTTTGTCCTGTGTGGTCACCACCAGGAAGTGGACTTATAAAGCTAAACTTCGGTGGAAGTAGTGAAGGAAATCCAGGTCCATCAGGTGTAGGAGGGGATTTCAGAGATGAGGGTGGGAAGGTGCTTGCTTTGTATTCAGGTTCCATTGGGTTTGGAGACTCTCTCAAAGCTGAGGTCTATGCAGTACTGGAGGGTATAAGGAAGTCTAAGGAACTGRATATACAAAAGTTAGTCGTTGAAGGGGACTCAAAGCTGGTCTTAAGTTGGTTACTAGACGGTAGTGGACTTTGGAAATATGCTAATGAGAGGAGGGAGATTAAGTGGCTAACTAGAGGACTGGAAATCAAGTTTCAGTGGGTCAAGAGAACAGMAAATGCATTTGCTGATGCTTTGGCAAAGCAGGGGGTGGGAAGGGATCAAATGTTTTGGGCTGTTCTGTAAATTTTTCCTTTTTGTTATCTTCCCGGAGAGAGTCAAGGCTGTTTATCTCTCTTTGGAGCGCTGTAACTAAATTCTTTTAATCTAATGAATTCCAGTTATTGATAAAAAAAAAATTCATGCGTTTTTGTCTGTGTTCATGCATTTCTGTAATTAATCTTAAATGGGGTTGCAAGTTGAGTGTCCAGTTTGAAGAATTTATATAGCATTGGGCTTGGGTCTTCAGGCCAGAACCATTCAAAATTTAACAAAATTTCAACCGAACCCAATGTTGCACCCTTAATGATAAAGGGGAGTTATTTGGGCACGTCCCTGGTGAAAAGACAAAGAAATTCCTGTTTATAATGGTTAAATAAATATATTAAGGTGTTCTTATCTTTTATTTATTTTCTCCTTGAGTAATGATTTAAGGTATCTCCCCTTTATCCAAAATCATGGAATGTGCCCTAATCACTCTTGCTTTCTGTTAATAATGAATTTCTAACAATTACAGCAAGCATGCTGCAGATCTGAACTTTTGTTTTTTGATTTTTACAGTGAGAGCACAAAGAATATTTTAATTGCATCTACTTATATGCATTTGAAGTGTAAGGAATATGCCAAGTATATCACTGATCTTCCTACTGTGAGCCCAAGAATATTGCTATCTGGTCCATCAGGTACTGTTTTCCGCTTGCACCTTCCATCTCAAGAAGTTTTGTGAAGTGTAGACTTGATTATATTTTTCCTGCGTGCTGTAATGGTGCTTTTCCTGTTTACTCCATATGTAGGTTCTGAAATATATCAGGAAACATTGGCAAAAGCACTTGCAAAACATTTTGAGGCTAGATTGCTTATGGTTGATTTTCCCCAGTTACCTGGTGTAAGCATCTCTATGTTCTCTTTGGGTTTTATATTCTATAGTAGAATTTGATTCTCTTTCATTAGTACATATCAGTGTTTTAAAAGGCGTGGGAGGTGTATGCCTGGAGGTGCTCCACCAGGCAAGGTCCCCCAAAATGCCCAAGGCATATGCCAGAGGGATTGATACATCTGAGTCATACCCCTCAGATGCAAGAGGCGTATGCGTCATACACCTTTTTCATGTGGCGTGCTAGAGCCTAGAGGTGCATGCCTCATGTACACCTCATTCAAGAAAGACAAAAAAAAAAAAAACGAAATAAGGAAAGGACCTCCTTGTGTTCAGGAGGCTCATGCTTCTTCCTCCTTCCTCCTCAATCCCCTCCTCTTAAGGAGGCTTGTGCCTCTTATGTTCTTAACTACACCTCACGCCTCCAAGTAGTGTAATGCCTTGCGTCACACCTCTGCATTTTAAAACATAGGTACATATTGCTTACTCCCCAATGTAGGAAGTTTGCATATACAATTGTATGTTCTCAATTGGATTAAGAAATTTCCAGCTTAATGTAGGGGAATTCAGCCAACTTCTGAAATGTTTTCATTAAATGTTTTTAATCAATTTCAGGCACTATCTACAAAAGATTCAGAGTCTATAAAAGAAATAAGGTTAGAAAAGATGGTCACTAAGCAACGAGCAACACAGGCAGATGCGCTACAACTAAAAAAACCAGCTTCTAGTGTTGAGGCTGATATTATTGGGACATCCGTGTTAAGCTCTCAGGCTCTGCCAAAGCAAGAGGCCTCAACAGCATCTTCTAAGAGCTTTACATTTAAACAAGGCAAGCTATTTCTCTTTCAGTTTCTATTATAATCTACATCTTATTAGCTAATAAATTTTTTCTTCCATTTATTCATCATGTAAATTCATGTTCTTCAGTTTCTTAGTTGCTCTAGCTCTTCTGAAATTGGCAGGTGACAGAGTAAGATATGTTGGGAGTTTGGTAAATCCTTCTGGTTTTCCCCCTCTTCAGACTTCTTCAAGGTATCTATGCCCTATACACAACCCAAGCTGATTGCTGACGCCCTTCGCTTGAAAATTTTATCTGTAAGCTGCGTGGTTCGTTCTAAATAGAAGTTTTTTTTTTTTGAAAAAAAATATAGAAGCGTTTGATCATTTGATTCCCTGTAGTCATGGATATGGAATTTGAATTTGAATTGTGATATGTGTCTATGTGTCCAGGGTTCTGATCATAAAAAGTTCATTACCCAATTATGGTCCCTGCTATCCTTGGTCTTGGGTGGGTAGACAGGACATGGTCCTAACCTTGTGCATTTTTTTTGCATAGTGGCCATTCTGAGGCTCAAATGTACATTCTCGTGCTTGTTACCCCTATCCAAGAGTCTAAATGCAAGATGGGTGTTAGAATAATGTTAAAATAATTTAGTTGCAGATGTTAGGGCCTGTTTGGCTAATGAAAGTGTTTTTTTATTTTGTTTCTCTTTCTGTTATGACTGTTATTGTACTCAGGGGCACAAGGGTCTTTTCCCTTGTTATTTCTGTCGCCCTATATATATTAAAATAAAGGTTGGCGCCGCCAGCACTGTTACATTGCAAAACCCTTCTTCCTTCCCTCCTCTCTTTTCTTCTCTTCTTCTCCTCTTCTCTCCTCTTCTCCTCCTCTTATTTCTGGCCGGCCATACTGTCAAGATGGTATCAGAGCGGGAATACTGATTGAAGAGAGCAGATCGGACAACCTTACTGAGAGAACAAATCGAACAGACTATCCGAACCTGGGCTGAACAGAAATCTGATTCGAAACTGAAAAAAATAGCTACAACTGGTACAGTTCTCCTTGTTTTTCTCTTCTTTACCCTTCTTGGTCATGTGTCGAGTGGAAACCCTACGAGTCTGGGCGGCTGAATGCTGTCAAATCTGTGTACCCCTGTTTTTTTGGATCGTGTGATCCTGTTCATGTGTTAAGACAACAGTAGGTCAAGGATGACCTGTCTTCTCAATGGTTTGATTTGACTATAAGTAAGAAGGATCTCTCCTGCTGATTAGTGGCTGTTAGACATTCTGGAATTCTGGTAGGTTGGGACTGTTAAAACTATACAGGTCTAAAATCTGCCGAATAGTACCTCTGTTTTTGTCCGAAATTTGGAA